ACACACACACACACACACACACACACACACACACACACACACACCAGATTTTGGTAAATCCAACGCCTGGGGGAAAAAAGCTGGTGTGACAATACTGAAGAGGGTGCAGTTAAAGTGAGGTAAAATGTAGGTTTGAGTTTCAGTGAAACCCCACTATGGTCTGGAAGAAGCTACAACAGTCGTGGGTGTCCAACAGTCAAATAGCAACAAACCACCACTGAACCTAATACAACTGAAAGAAAAACATCTGAACAAGAAATGCTTCTTCCCCTATAAGAAAACCTTCTTTCATTTTCCATAAATCACTCCCACAACAACAGCCAGCTATCAGACCGCTATCAGTGTCTGCACATTTTAGCAAGTTAAACTTAATTGTTAATTGAAAACGATTAAAAGCAAAACGGTGGTATGAACAATATTAGCCTTGAATATTAGCAGTAAAAGAAAAAGGTGGATATCTCAGAATATCAGTCTATATTTGAGGTTATATTGAAGTACATCAAAGTTTCCTCTTTGATGATTTCAAATGAAAAACCTAAACGACAAATCAAGTCTAAATAAAGGATTTATAATTTGCCTTTAATTCAGAACACATCCCGCTGCATTGAAAAGCTGTCAAAAGCTTAGATTTGAGATTCATGACATGTTGAGGCTGTTTACAGACATTATACTGAGTGGGTGGTTCTGCTGGAGCGTGTGTCCGAGGCTCTGCAGTGGGTCATAATCTAAGAGTTTACAGGTTTTCTGCTCATCTGGTTTAAATATGGCATCAAACTACAGGTTCTCCATGCCAAGGCTTTGTGTGAGCGCCTGTATATAGTTCCTAATCCGTGCATGTGTGTATAAAATAGACGTGTCCTACAGGTAGGAATCTGATTAAATGTGAATGAGCAGTGTGTGTTTGTGTGTGTGTGGGGGAGTGTTCCTGTCCAGCTTGGACGCAGCTGTGTTGTGGTGATGGGCGTCATAGCCGCTTGGAACAGGAAGTCTGTCGGCCAGAACAACAATGACTGCAGCCATGACCTGTTCCACCCTACCATGCCTTATCCTGGTGTGTGTGTGTGTGTGTCAGAGATAGGGGAACAAAAAAGGAAAAGAACATCCATTCATCATCTAAACATACACATGGATGTATGTGAACGTGTTTTGGCGCTGTGTGCTTAACTGTGTCCTCTTCATCTTCTGTTACTCTTTGTGTTTTCTCTCTCTCCCTCCCTCCCTCCCTCTCCCTCCCTCCCTCTCAGAGCAGTTGACTCCACTAAACCAGAGCTCTGGAAAACATCCCAAATACTTGTCATTCTTCTCCACCTCAGCCCAGCACGCAGCAACGCACACGCTCTTAACTGAGCTAACTCAGCGCCGTACTTGTCATCCTTCTGCCCATCACCTCCTCCTCTTCCTCTCATCACGTCATCACTCGTCTCTCTACCTCTGCTCTTCCACTGGGATGTAAGTGGTTCTGTCTAAATACTGTTTGCATTGTCTCATCAAATAGACATCAGTTCAAGAGGCTGTTTGAAAGCTGGGGGCGGGGGGGCATTAGAGAAATGTTTATGTTTATCTAACGACAGATTTTTTGCGTGGTTATCTGTGATTTGTGGATAAAGGTTTAAACTTCTCTATCAGTTAAACTTTTACTCACAATTCACACGTTTGAAGTTGTCAAATCCTGACAGAACGTACAACGTATTAGGGCCACTGTAGGGAAAAAATACAAACCTCTATTTTTGAGATTTAAGTCGAAAATTTACGAGAAAAAAAGATTACGATTATGAAGTCATTCCTGATTAGTTTGATAGTTGATAAATCGTTGTCATTTTTCAAGCAGGAATTCCAAACGTACTTTAAAGGTGTAATTCAAACTGACTTTAGGAATCGATGCTGTATTGAGTCTGTGGACATGAACATGTGTGTGGATGCTCTATATTTAGCCGTCATCTGTCGAGCCAATAGCGCTGAGGAGAGGAATAACGGTGTTGGTGACGCACAGCCGAACCGTCCCTCAAGGACAATCGGTTTGTTAACCCGGACAGATGAGGAAACAAGTCCCTGAGAAAAGAGAATCACTAAAGACAGCACATGGAAACACAAGCTGCTGCTGCAAAAATATGAGAGGAAATAAAGAAGAAAATATGTGCATGCACCCAGAAGTAGTATCTCACAGAAATTTGGAGCATGCAGGATGTTGCACACTGAGTTTTCCAACTTGTTATCAAAGCTTCAAAGTAGTTCTCTGTACTGTGTCCTCTCCTTTCATCTTGCTCTCCCTTCACAACGGATTTCCATAACCATGTGATCATGAAAAGAGCTGGTGGTCATATAAAAAAAACAACCTGTGCATCTTTAAAGTGTCGCCTCTGAAGCTGCACTCGACCGGAGAGAAGAGACGTGAAACAGAAAGACGGGACCGGCCTTCTATTAAAGACTGATTCCAGTATATGAGCGATCAATGCAAAACCGGAGGGAAGAAACAGAAGTGTGAACCATGGGTGAACCCCGTCACCTCCCTCCCTCACCCTCTAGTCCTGCCTCTGCCTCGTCTCTCACTCTCTTCCTGTCTTTCAACCCCTCATCCTCCTTCACTTGCCTCCTTTCTCTTTTAATGGAACAAGGAATGAGGGAAGGAAGGAAGCAGGAATGTGTTTTCCAAACTGACGTCGATATGGGGGGGGGGGGGGGGGG